GCTGCAACTGAGAAGGCTCTCCTCCGCGTAGTCGCCAGTCGGCACTGACTGGCGGATGGAATTCGGAGGAGGCCTGAGCTCGCAACTTTCTTAACACAACCACTACCAGATTACAATGGTTCCAATCTCCAAATCAGCAATCCTCTGGCCTGTGTAGAACAACAGCTAGAACACAACATAGCACTTGGATTGGATCCTTTCTTCCTACACAAGGCCATCAGCAGGCGACATCAGCAGCACCCTAGTACATCTACACCACCCAGGTGACTTACTATTTTCCCAAAATATGACTATATTTATACAGAAAGATAGTGAATTTATACAATTAACAATGTGGGAATTATTTTAGAGACAAAAGAAATCTTACCAATTTTGGGATGAGAAGTTGGCAACGCTGCTTCGGGGAATGCGGAGATCTGACAACTGTCTTGATAAGTTGGATAGTGAGGCTCTGGATGATTGACCTGACAAGGTTGTTGCTGAAGGTTTGTATCTTGCACTGTTGAGAAGAGCATAAAGTCAGTCTAAAGGAACTGGTTTGGATGTTACCTCTTGGAAGTTCACAAAAGGTAAGTTTTGACAAAATCGTAAAGAAAGATGCATACAGATTGTCCAGAATTGTAGCCCTGATGTCAGGAAAATGAAAGCTCAGAATATATGAAATTGCAAACAACAAAAAGCTAATATATTCAAATTCAGAACTAAAGTCCAAAATAATCTTGATGGGTTACAGAAATGGGCTGAGAATAAGATCCTGGAATTTACAAGGTATATGCAAAGCCAGAAACAGAAATAAATGCAGGATATTTGGTTTGATAATATTTGTGAAACAGAACTTGAAGTACAGATAGTTCTCAACCTACTACCTTTTGTTTAGCAACCATTCAAAGTTACAACAGCACTGGGAAAAAAGACTTATGACCAGTCCTCATGCTTATGACTGTCACAGCTTCCCCCCATGATTATTTGGGCATGTATTTTTGATGGTCACAGTATCCTAGAGTGCTGTGATTGATTGCTATTAGTGACTTTCCCAGCTAGCTTCTGACAAGCAAAGTAGTGGAGGAAGTTGGATTTGCTTAATGATTGTAGGGATTCACTTAACAATTGTGGCGAAAAAGTGTTGTAAAATTGGGTGCAACTCATTTGCTTAGCAATGGAAATCATCATCCCAATCGTGGTCATAAATTGAGAATTACCTGTGGTTAATGATTACAGACTGAACATAGGTTAGCAATGTGAGGTGGTTGGGGGGAAAAGGCAAATTGCAATTTCATATAATTACCCAAATCATGGGAAGGAATCCATCCATTTTTTCTTTGATCAGACCGCACTTCTAGAGTGGGCTCTGAACAGGCAAAATAATTTAATAAGATTTCAGAAAATTAGAATACATTCAGAAAAGAGCTCTGAGGATGTCCAAAAGCTACCTCTTATGAAGAGAGAATGAAGGATATGACGATATTCAGGCTTGAAAAGAGTAAGGAGTAAGCATTCTTCAAGAAGTGAAAAGGGTATCAGAAGAAAGCTAAGGCATATTCTTTGTTACTATATGTAAAGGATGCAGAATAACGGATTTAAGCTACAGAAAGGCAGGTTCCAACTGAATCTTGGGGATAAACTTCCTGACAGTGGGAGCATCAGTGAAACCAATTATCTACAGAGGTTAAGAGATTCTTCTTCCTTAGATGAATCTAAGCAGAACTGCAGAGCCATCTGTCTGGATTATTTTGATTTAGAGTCCTGCCTTGGAACAGGGTTGGACTCAATAGCTTAAATGGCCCTTTCCAACAATATAACCTGTGGCTCATTCCTGAGGCTGGGCAATTGATTGAAGCAACTGCTTTACACTGGATTCTCATACACCTGTGTCCGAGAATAAATCCCACTGAACCCATCAATAGAATTTTCTATTTTTGTGCTATTAATCACATTTTCTATCTTCTTTTATCCCTGCCCGATTTCTCCTCCTAAAATATAGGTTTAAAGAGGTATCCCGATCATGTATGGGTGTGGATTTGTCTTACTCACCAGTGGTACCAGTGAAAACATCACCTTGGGATGGACTTTCTGAGATAATAGCCGTGGCCTCCACAGCTGCTGTACGATCAAAGGTCAAAGTGCCAGAAGTTGTAATCTGTCCTGAAGGAGTCACCGTGACTAAAAAAAGGATGAAAATGTTTTCGGAATTAAGTAGACTGCTAATACTTAGTGATCAAAGGATCCCCCAGTTTTGTTTCTAACCAGCAGAAACACCACACTGAGCTAATAGATAAAACTTTCCAAAAACAATCATGAAAGAAATGCAACAAGCCAAATTATTAAGGCTAAAAGCTTCCCAATTTAGCATGCCGAAAAGAATATTTGATTAAGACCGAAAGCAAACATTAAAATTAAATACAGCTTTAAGTAATATTTGGAAATATTTTCTTGACGTTATTACTCAAATTATAACCGTCAGCTAGTGAATAAAGATCAAATAAGGATTTAAGGATACCAACAGGGAAGCTTAAGATGGTTTGCGATTTATACTAAAGTGACAAAGCTGAAAAGGAGGAAAGGCTGTTTCTTACAAAGTGTACAATGACTATTGAATATTTTTGAAACTGAATATTTTTGTCATTTTGAAAACAATGATAAATGTTAAATGACAATTAGGATTCATTTGGGAATATCACATGGAACTCTTACACGTGGTGGCAGCAGTTCCAGGAAGCAAGGTGATGTTTTTGGGTGAATCCTTCTTCACTGGTGTTGTAGGCAATTCATTCTCTTTTTTCCTTCTTTTATAGGGGACAAACAGTCTTATGGGACCACTCTGATAAAGAGAAAGCAACCATTGTCAGAATATGGCAGAAATTCTTTCTGGCGATAGAATTAAGGTTGGTTTGTTTTTTGCTAGTTGATATAATCTAAACCTTGTATAAATTGCCTCACCAAAAAGAAAAAAGAAAATTGACATCTTGACACAATGAATTTAACACAGTTAAATTGAAAATATTTCTATATTGCAGACAAAGGATCCCAGTCCCAAGCCACTCATGCCTATCTTTTTACATCCACAATTCTGATAAAGATGAAATCCTTTCATTATAAATATTATTATCAGACAGCTAAGTGCTCAGTTGCTACTGTTGTCATGCCTTGCATGAGAAACTTCAATAATATTCAATATATTGAATGTTATTGAATAATATATTGGAATAACATATTGAACATTTCAATTCAAATAATATATTCTTTTTTATTCAATAAAAAGGACAGCTCTAATCACGTACTCCAAAATATCTTCATTTCACATTAGACACGTTAAGCACACATTCTTTAAAGGAACACAATGTTAGTGAAATCTGAGAATTTTAATTTTGTTTCTCTAAGACCAGTTTTTCATGTACCAACTCTGCATTTTTCCCCAATGAGCTACTTTCAAGTGTGGTGGACTACACCTTCTCTCACTGCTTGCTCTGGGTCTGATAGCTGCTGCAGTTCAATAAAATATGAAATACTTCTATGCTGACTGATTACAATTGACAAGAAGTCCAGTTCAGCAAATTTGGAGTACATCTGGATGGGAAGATATCTGCTTTACTGAGTTTTCCTTTTAATGCTTCTACACCGTGGAACCAGCTTTCTTTTGAAATTCCTACTTGTCTATGTCTAGTACCTTTACAATAATGAACAAACATCATGCCAAATATTTATTTATTTATTGCTAACGTTTCTATGCAACTTCAATCAGAAAAAAACTGTCCAATAACAAGGGACTGAGATTTTTTTTTACAAGGTAGAGCGACTTTCTATGTTTGGAATGTCCTTCCCAAGTGGCACCCACAGTGACCTCATTTCGGTGCCAAATAAAGATTCCCCCCCCCTCCAATTTTCCCAGGATCTTTAGACTGCAGTTTAAATCTTATAGTTTTAGATGTTAGTAACTGCTTTGCTGCTGCCTGGTTTGTAAGTGCATTTACTTTGAATTTTATTTAATTCATCTGATAAATTTAAATTTTGAATGGTACTTTTTATGATAAACTGACTACAAATTGATTACTGGGTTGCTTAAAAGGTTAATAAATAAATATAATCCATCTAATTACAAAATAACATAAACAGAGAAAAATCGCATGATTAATAACATTGTAACCGAATTCCCAGTACCCATAGTGACAATCTTTCTTCCTACTCCATATTCTTTTACTCCTAAGTCCCCAAAGGCTCTGCAGAGTAATCAGATTTCCAATAAAGTCCAGAAGGTAGTAAGGGAAGGAGCCCATCTCATGGAGGGGTTTGTGGGGGAAAGTAAACAGCTCAAGAGGACGGAAGTTCCCACAGGAAGGCTCACTTCTAAGCGCCTTCTCACCACACCACAAACATTGAGGTAAACTCCACAGATTTTAAATACATTTTTAAAACAAGTGGATGTTTATTGTTAATAATCTACTATAGGTAGACCTCGATTTACGACAATTGAGCCCAAAATTTTTGTTGTTAAGTGGAACATTTGTTAAGTGAGTTTTGCCTCATTTTACGACTTTTCTTGCCACGGTTGTTAAGTGAACATTGCAGTTGATAAGTTAGTTAACATAGTTAAGGGAATCTGGCTTCCCCATTGACTTTGCTTGTCAAAAGGTTGCAAAAGGGCATTACGTGACCGTGGGACACAGTAATAGTCATAAGTATGAACCAGTTGCCAAGCATCTGAATTTTGATCACATGATCATAGGGATGCTGCAAAGGTTGTAAGTTTGAAAAACGGTCGTAAGTCACTTTTTTCAGTGCCATTGTAACTTTGAACTGTTATAAGTAGAGGACTACCTGTACCAAAACTAAGTAAAATCCGGTATTAATTTCTTTTGCCTAAAAGCCTGCTACTGCAATAACTAGAGGAGTATATCAATTGAAAATGGTGATAGGACCCTATATGTTTCTTTGCTGCCTTTTCCTGTTGACAAAGGACCTTTCGGCCCACAGTATTTATAAATCATCTCTGTATGATAATCAGTGTGTAGCAGTTCAGCACATCATCAAGTAATCCAAGCAGCATTTTTTAGACTCACCAGACTCATGTCATCACAACACGCAGCGCAAGTGCATGAGGCCGCATGGGGATTTATTATTCCATCCTGGAATAGAATTGATAGAAAATAACAGTATTAGGAATCTTACATGGACAAAGACGGCCAGACATATTAATTCCCACAATGGAAGAATGGATAATAAAGACGATAAAGTTGGTGAAGATGGCAAACGTTTTAATGAAAGAAAAGAATCTATGTAGTTTTGTTGCTACTTGGAAATTGCTCCTGGGCTTTTGCACTTGAAACTGAGGGGGGGGGGGGAAGAAACTTTGAGCTTAGCTTTTGATGACCAGATTGACTTTGTCGTTATAGAAATGATCTGAAATGTGAAGCAGAAAGTTAATGCTGTAACTTATATATTATACTGCACTGAAAAAAGTTGAAAGTCACTACTCTTTTTCTTTCTCTTTGAAGCTCTCTTCTTTCTTCTCCTTCTCCATCTTTCCTGACTTTTGTTTCTATTTGTATTTTATTTTATAATGAACTTTAATAAAAATATTAAAACTGGAAAAGAGCAATATTAGGTTGGAAAAACTGATACCCATCCAGCATTAACACAAGGAAGCCCTTCCTAGTTCTCCAAGCACTGAGACCTTGGCTGGCATGTTGCTTTAAAGTAAAATTACCAGTAACCAACTAATCTAATATCCTACCTACGGTCCTCTCCCCTCACCTCTGTGTTCACCACTGCCATGCTTCTTTACAGCATACACTCTCTAGATGCTGTAGAACTACAAATAATGGAAATAGGGAGCTGTCTAAAGTACAGGCAATTTATGAAATGGTGTCATGAAATATGACTGTGATGAAAAGAACACTGGATATGAAAGGATGCTATTACCAGAAACTAGTTAGGTTTTCTTTTCTTTTCTCTCATCTCCCATTTTCAATATATTGCTTATTAAATTCTTCTTCTCTTTTCCCGTGTTTTGCAAAATGTTGTTTACCCATTAAGGGAATAACATAATGGATATTTATGTATGCATAAAAGGTGTCTTACAAAATTTTCTACTGCTTGTCTGACTATCGCATATATTTTCTGGTAACTTGTATCCTAAGCAAGACCTTGCTGGAGGCCTTCTCCATTTTCAAGAAATACATTGTATAAAAATAAGTATACACGTGATGAAACTCTTTCAAATGTCATAAATCATGTGCGTTTATATAGGAATCAATCCCATTGAATTCAGTAGTATTTATTGTGGCATATGTGACAGTAGGAAGAAAAAGATGCTAAGGAATCTTACATGAATAAGGCACTGTATTGGCCTCCCAGCATAACGAATACTTCTTTTCCAGTCTTTGCTACTGGCTCTTCCAGCCATAGCTTCGAATTCAGTGGGGCTGTACCAGTTGTCCCCTTGCTTAATACAACGACCTCGACCACCTAAGTACAGGATAAAACAAAGAAACAACTCCTGCTTAATAATTGTTTTATACAAATGAGGTTCAGAAGAGTCTGCAAAAACCTTTCCCTGTAAGCTGCAGACTAATAGTTCCCTTCCCACTAAAAAAAATGCCTTCCCAATATAAACACTCTTAATGGTTTTGCAAAACAGAGCATTCACTTTCATGTTGATGCAAGTGCCAATTTTCCTCTCATTCTTCTCATTTTTCTCATTCACAGCTAAGCACAATAGTGAGATGAATAACATGAAGTCTAGAAAAGGATTTCTTCCAGGCCATTCATTCACTTTTAATTGCTAACATTGTTATTGATTTGGTCTACTGTGTACAAATGAACTTGATATGAAACATGTATCATGTATTGAAAAGCGGGCAAATAGCTATCATTTAGACAGCTTGATGCATGCAATGACTTGTATCCAAGATAGTATTTCCTCTCTTTACTCTCTCAACAGACCAAAATGTTATCTGAGTGGAATTTTGGAGGACAAAAGAGTAGGGAATATAGGCAGGGAATTCTCCTTAAGTTACATTCTATATTTGCATTGCTATCAAATTTAAAAACAGATCCTGTCATAACTCTGAGATTGACTGTGTTCCAAATTTATGGAGAAATATCCTGGATATTAGGAAATTTAACTCTTAGTGAAAGTCAATGTTTAATCTTAGTGGGTTAACAATTTTGGCGGGTTCTTAATCACTCAGATGGATCAGAAAAATATAGGTTGAAATTCCTCACCTGAACCAAGTCGATTTTTGTACAATATCCCACTGATATTTCGACATCGCACAGGCAGTTCATTATCATACACTGACGGGTCCCAGTTATATTTTGTTCCACCTTTTTCTTGACCAGATGTTAACTGAGTAGAGGGGGACTGAGATCCTTCAAATAAAAGGAAAGGTAACCAAGTCTTAACATACAGTTTCAATTTTTGCATTTCCTTTAGAATGCCAAAACTGTGATCCTCAAAATGATAGGTAGTCAATAAAAAACCAAAGAGTACAACTTATTCCTTCAATAGTTAAAAGAATAAAAAATGAATATTAAATCCTCTCTAAACAACACATCAATTGTCTGATTTTTGAAATATGGAATCCATGCAGAAAGGACTTACATTGTCATTAGGTGCTATACTTGTACTATTCCTCTCAGGAAACTAACACTGATACAGGAAATAACTGCATCTTATAAATTCCATGTCATCTCCATACCTCAACTATTACCAAAGCAACACTGGATACTTACTTGTTTGTTTATTTACTTACAGGGTTTATGGACTACTCCAATTAACCAACCTGAGCAGCATACAATTTCCCAGTATGTAATTAGGATTAAACATAAATATAAAATAAATTAAAAACAACACTATATGTTACAATTGCATAAAACTGAGAGATGTAGTCAAAATAAACAACAAATAATCCATCATCTGGAGAGATTGTCATAATGACCCAGCCTCCCTGACTTGACAAAACAGCCATGTTATCATCAAATTTCTAAAAACCATAAGAGCGGGCAGATTACATAGGGATACTATTCCAGAAGACATGGACAGGGACTGAAATGCATTGCTTGTATAATACAGAATACAAATGCCTGAGTTTGCTTATCCTGCTATCCTGCAATGGCTAATGAATAGATAAGATGTTTTAGTGTCTTAATAGCTTCCATACAAGACAGAAAATGCTGAGATACTATCACAACAGACCAATGAGAAGCCTGAACTACAGAACTTGCAAGGGAGGAATAGCAAATTGAAGATGCCTCTGCAAAATGGAAGATTGCTCATATGTGCCCAGATAGCTGATACTTATGAGAAGAGCACAACAGTGTGGTTTACTGTGGGTTTGAGTGCCAGGAGACATAGCCATGCTTTTCATTTATATTTCAAATTACTTAACCGCTCAGAGATTGCTCACAACTGCAACATAACGTTTTAAAGAACATCAAGTTTGCAAACTTTACTTTCTAATCACTTTCAGAAATTGCCTATTAACCATCTTAAAACTATTAGAGATCTTCAAAACAACAAATTTGAAAAGTTGCCAGGTAAGTTTAACATCAATTCTGAACAAAAGAAAAATTAATTACAAACTTAAGAACTCAAAAGTATTTGAAATAAACAGCAAAAAGCTAGATAACAGTTTGATATGAGAAAAACAGATTAAGGGTTGAGATAAATTTGAAGTATTAACTTTTACTATAGAATTTTAGAATTAATTATTTAAAAAATCGCTATCTTTTATAGGTAGTACATGTAGTTTGGTTATCTTGGCTGCTATAGATCATTGGATTACAGCACCTTTCTTTCCCACTCAAGCAATTCTGAGAAGAGATGGAATGAAAAACAAGAAATTCTGCCAATCAAATATTTGCTTATGCAAACTAATGAAAAAAAATTATAAATTTATGCTGTATTTCTATATGTCATTTAAAAAAGGTTTCCCCAGCTCACATTTTACCTGTAGTAAGAGGCGCAGATGGCCCCTTCAGACCTGCACTCTCCACAATGGTGCCATCTGTATGAACCACAATCAGAGTGGCTTTTTCAGCATTTAAGCTATCCCCAATCTGAAGAGCTGTTCTTCCAGACTGAAATAAAAAAAGGTTCGCTAGCATAACCGAAAGGATTAGATTGTTATGTTTCTTAATACATAAGAATTCCTAAAAAAATTCCCATAGAAATATCAAGTTGCATATATTGCAAGAAGAACAGTCAAATCCCTCTCTTCCATATACAAATGTATGGATACTAGCACTCTGTTTTCTCCTTTCTTGAGGAAAAAAGAGAATACTGGACATATGATCAATAGCTATAGCACCCTGTTTGATACATTACTCCAATTTTATAAGGAACCATTAAGGAGCACTGTCTGGGTATAGACAAATACACTTTAAACATAAATTAACTAATATAATCTTACAGAATCACCTAAATATTTTTCTCAAGTTTAGATATATTTCCAGTACATTTCCATAATTTATTAAATAAATTTTCTCATAAAAAATGAAATAAGGTAACGCTGGCAAGATTTGTTCATAAAGCCAATGCTGACTTCTAATATTCTTGTTTTCAAAATGGTTATAGATTGGTTGCATTATAATTCATTTTCAAATCTTCCCAGGTATTAATGCCAGATTGAATGGTGTGTAGGTCTGTCTACCTTTTATTCCCCTTTTGACGATAAAGATAATTGCCTTTCCTGAGTCAACTGGCACTTCAACAGTTTTATAGCATTTCTCAGAGACAACAGACATAGGTTTAATCAAAACTGATATATATATGGTTTTGATTCCTTGAATTCATTTAAGGTCTGAAGATACCGTATTTTTCAGAGTATAAGACGCACCAAGGTTTTGAAGAGGCAAATTAAAAAAATGGGTAGGTAGATAGATAGAGGGAGAGATAGGGAGAGAAAGAGAGAGAAATACAGTAGGTAGGTAGGGAGAGAAAGTTGTTAGGTAGGTAGATAGATAAAGGGATAGAGATAGATAGATAAATACAGTAGGTAGGTAGGGAGAGAGAGTAGGTTGGTTGGTAAGTAGAGGGATATATA